AAAAAAAAAAAAAAAAGAAGAAGAAGAAGCAAACCAAGTCCATATTATATTACTTCCTCTGAAGGAAATATTATACAACCACTAAAAATTTTTGAATATGAAAAAGATTTAAAAGTAGAATACACAAGATTTGAAATTGCAAATATCTTGTTATTATGACTAAGTAAAAAATGCATATGAAAAATGATTGGTAGCCCCAATAGCAAAGAACACACCTAGTATCTAGATCTTGGTTTCCAAGTACCACTGTCCCCTAAGGGGTCATGACTTCTTGGAAAAATGACCAATTCCAGGGCTGAGCAGGGGAATTATAAGAAGAGTGTGGATACATCAAACTAAAAAGCTTCTGTGCAGCATAGGAAATGAGTGATGGAATGAAAAGGCAATCTACAGAATGGGAGAAAACATTTCCAAGCCGTGTATCTGATAAATAATATCTAAAATAAATGTAAAGACTTTCTATAACTCAAAAGCAGAACCACACATAACTTGTTTAAAAATGAAAAAAGGATTTGAATAGACATTTCTCCAAAGAAGACGTATGGATGGCCAACAGGTTTATGAAAAGATGCGCAACATCACTAATCATCAAGGAAATGCAAATTAAACCCACAATGAGCTATTACCTAACACCTGTTAGGATGACTTACTAAAAAAATAAAAAGTATTGGCAAGGATTTGGAAGAATTGGAACCCTTGTACACTGTCAGTGGGAAGGTAAAATGGTATAGTCACTATGGAAAACAATATGGGGATTCCTCACAAAATTAAAAATAGAACTGTCATATTACCCAGCAATTCTACTTCTGGGAATTTATCCAAAAGAATTGAAGGCAGGATACAGAAGAGATATTTGCATTCTTGTGTTCATTGCAGCACTATTTGCAGCACTATTACTATCGCCAAGATGTGGAAACAACCTTAATGTCTATCTACAGATGAACAGATAAGGAAAATGTGGTGTATACATAAAATGGACTATTATTGAATCTTTAAAAAGAAGGAAATAGCTCTCATATGCAACAACAGAGGTTAACCTTGAAGACACTATGCTAAATGAAATAAGCTAGTCACAGACGACAAATACTGCATGATTTTACTTACATAAAGTATCTAAAAAAGTTAAAACTCATAGAAACAGAATAGAATAGTGGTTGCCAGAGGCCGTGGGAAAGGAGAGATGCCATTGCTATTCAGCGAGTATAAAGTTACATTTATGTGAGATGAAGAAATTCTCGAGATCTGCTGTATAATATCATGTCTATAGTTAATACTACATTTTGTTAGGAAGGTAGATCTCATTTTAAACACATTGATGAGAATTTTTAAAAGATGAGCCTGGAGCACCTTGTTGTAGAAAGTAAGCAATAGCTCAAAAAGTGATGGGGACATGTTAAAGTGATACAGGAATCAAATTCAAGGGGCTCCCAGGGACCAAATTTGAGACAATTTGAACGTCAAAATAAAGTGATAATAATGGATCATAACCTACTGAAGAAAATAGGAATCAGTGAATCCCCACTAACAAGGAAGAAGGAAAAGGTGCTTTCCTAAAGTTGAATGCCAACTAATACATGTAGAAGGATTACATAGTTAGAAAATCACCATGTCAAACAATTGATTCAGCCAAGAATCATCAATGAATGTTAAAACTATGGGGTGAAAGTTTGGTGATTGGTATATCTACATAATCTCAAAGTATCTCTTCACAAAATGCTAACAATTACTAAGATAAGAGTAGAAACTTTACAATAAAAAGCCTGGCAGACACCATCTTAGGTCGTCAAAGTTTACATCATGAATAATGGGACAAACTGACGTGTGTTTATTGAGAAGGACATAATCTCTTTTGTGGATTCCTGCCAAAAATGCATGACCTGCGTGTAATCGTGGGTAAGCATCAGACAAATCTAAATGTGCAGAGGGACATTGTATGAAATAACTGGCTTAGATTCTTTAAATATGTCAAGGTTATAACAGACAATGAATGACAGCCTGAGGAACTGTTATAGACTAAAGGAAGCTAAAGAGCTACAATAGTTTAATGCAATATGTGATCCTGGATTGGGTGTGAACCAGAGGGATTTTTTTTTTTTTTTTGTAATGGACAGTATTAGGATAATTGACAGCATGCAGATAAGGTCTGAACATTAGATCATAATTCTGTATCAATGTTAAATTCCTGGTTTTGATAATTATACTGTGGTTATATTAGAGAATGGCCTTGTTTTTAGGAAATATTTAGGAGTAAAGGAGTATTATATCTGCAACTTTAATGGTTCAGGCAAAAAGTAATACTGTATATATATAGACAGAGAACATGGAAAATGTTATAGACTCTGAGTGAAGCATATATAGGACTTCTTTGTGCTATTATTTCATAGTAGAAACTACAAAAAAAAAATTGAAAGGAATTGTTCCAATATGGTAGTTACTGTTTTAGGGTGCTTTTATCGTGAGTAATTTTCTTGACCAGATTTCCTATAAGATAGCCTTGTGTCTTTTCAGATCTTTTCCTCATTTATTAAGTAGCTTGTTTGTCTCATTATGGAGTTGTGATATATCTTTATGTATTCTGAATAAAGTCCTTTGTCAGATCTACATATTACAAATATTTCCTTCTTGCTTTTTAATTTTCATAGTGTTGTCTTACAAAGAGAAAAATGTGGCTTGCTTTTTAATTTTCATAGTGTTGTCTTGCAAAGAGAAAAATGTTTTCGTTTGATACAATACAATTTTTTTTATTTAAAAAATAAGATAGCCTTGTGTATATTTTTTGGAGAAACACCATATATATCTTACAGTTATACCAGACATGTACCTCAGACAGTGTACTTAAAAACTTTTTTTTTGAAAGAACAATTGTGGTAGTTGTTTGTTGACTCAGACATGTACCTCAGACAGTGTACTTAAAAAAAAAATTGAAAGAATAATTTTGGTAGTTGTTTTTGGACTCAATCCAGGGTATAGTATTATAGTGTCATGGCTTGGAGTTTTTATTATGATTCCAGCCAGGACATCAACATAGATATACTAAAGGGAAAGACCCTGAGAGTGTGATGCAGAGACCAGTGGAGTGATGTTTCACAATGTCTTATTTCCTACATTGTTGATTCTCACTGCTGGCTTTATTTCCTCCATCATATTCCAAATTATCTCTAGAAGTGTAACTCTTACCAACCCAGTTTTTTAAAAAATGCATTCTCAGTTACGTTCTTAGAAGGATGGAACACACATTCATGCATATGATAGAATGCCACATAACTTTAGAAAGTTTGGTAGTTACTGCTCAAAGCTATCTTGAGATGAAATATGTAAATATGTCAAGAGAAATTATAAATGAAACTGCCAACAGTGACTATATCTGGAGGGTAGAACGAGCGGGGAGTCAGGGACTTCAACTCATGTTGATTTAAAATTATTTTGAATAGAGATTATCTGGTGTAAAGTTATTAAGATATAAAATGGTATGCCATGGAAAGTGTCCTTTCTTGCTCTGTGCCCCAGATACTCAGTTTCCCTCCCCAGAGGCAACCGTGATTAACTGTTTTTGGCATAACTCTCAAGATACTGGGTACATGTAAAAGCAAATGCCTATTTTTTCCTGTTTTTCTACAGAAAAAGTTGTCCATTATGTCACTTTTAAAACCAAAAAAAATTTAAGAAAACAACAGTGCTATATGAGTTTCCAAAGAAAGATTAAGACAGTGAGATGTAGATAAAGAGAAAGATTAGAGTTTTCATTTGCTGGTCTCATCAGGCATTCTAAATAATGTACATAAAAGGAACCAGAGTTAAGAACTCTGTTCTGTATCTTGAATTAACTTGTATGTTTAGGCCGGGCGCGGTGGCTCACGCCTGTAATCCCAGCACTTGGGAGGCTGAGGCGGGTGGATCACGAGGTCAAGAGATCGAGACCATCCTGGTCAACGTGGTGAAACCCCGACTCCACTAAAACTACAAAAAATTAGCTGGGCATGGTGGCACGTGCCTGTAATCCCAGCTACTCAGGAGGCTGAGGCAGGAGAATTGCCTGAACCCGGGAGGCGGAGGTTGCGGTGAGCCGAGATCGCGCCATTGCACTCCAGCCTGGGTAACAAGAGCGAAACTCCGTCTCAAAAAAAAAAAAAAAAAACTTGTATGTTTCAAAGAATTTGGGAATATAGAACATGTTTAGGGATTAATATGGTCTGAACTTAGTATAGTAGTTACCTCTGGTTTAAAATAGTATATCAATTTCCTTTTCACCTTAAATAGACTTAAGTAACAAATATATGTGTTGTTTGCTTGACATTTTACATAAAAGAAATTTAATATATGAATTATAATTGTGGATTTTTAGGATATATCACATTACTTAAAACGGTGAATAATATGGCACATACATACAATGAAATATCATTTGGCCTCAAAAAGGAAGAAAAATTTAGACATTTGCTTCAGTATAAATGAAGCTGGAAGATATTATGCTAAGCGAAATAAGCCAGTCACAAAAGGACAAGTATTGTATTATTCCAGTTTTATAAAGTTTCTAGAGTAGTCAAATTCATAGAAACTAGGATGGTAATTGCTACGGTGAGGGGGAAGAGGGGATGGGAAGATATTGTTTGATGAGTGCAGAGTTTTAGTTTGAGAAGAAAAATAAAAGAAAAAATGTTATATTTTATCAAGATAGCATATTGAAAATGTAATAGAAAAATATTTATCTGCTATAATATATTATGTCATAGGTGTTATCTTCAGGAAGGCACACTGGACCTGCTAAATTAACAAATGGGAAGAAAGGGTAAGTACTCAAAGACATTTACAACTTCAGATTTCAAGACATTTTTCAGGTCTTTGGGCTGGGTGACATGTCATCTACCCCAGAAAATTAGGTAGGCCTGTAGCATCACACGCTCTGGGGAACAACTTTTCATATCTACCTGTGTTAATCATTCTAGTGTTTAACAGTCTTTCTAATCTTTAGAATGTGCTTATAAATTCATCTTGTACCTGGTAGGTCAAGCTTTCTTGTCTAGTCTTTGCTGGAAAGAAGATGACTAATGAATTTTGGGAAAAAAATATAAGAATATTAATGAGCTTATTTTCCAGGACCCATTTAAGAAGAATATCACGTTTTAATGCAGATTCTGGCTATTCCATCCATTCTGATTCAGAAAGTCAGGTAAGATTGAATAGATACAATACACACTAATTAGTTTTCAGGTAGAAGCTAAAAAGTAGGAATAAAATGCAAAGTATTAATTGGTCTAAGGAAGTATGAAGTCTGTTGCTTTAAAACATGTTTTCTACCTATAATAAATTGCTTGTAAATAAAGAAATTTAAAACTACATAATGTATATTTTTTTCCTATACTAACAGTTATATACAAATGTATTCTAAATGACTTTATTCCTTACAGGCTGAAACTCTTCATGGGCTTGATGGTTGTGCTTCTTTGCTGAGGAACATTTTGAGAAATGAAGATTCAGGTTTATTTTTTTTAATGCTTCTTTGCTGAATACCTTTTCTCAATTAAGTCATTATTTTGATATTAACAAATTTTTGTTTTATTAATAGGTTTAGAAACAGCATATTTAGAAAACAGATCTAATTCTAGACCTTTAGACAGCAGAAAATATGGATCTAAAAAGAAAAGACATGAAAAACATACTGTTCCTTTCATAGTCCGGAAAGAAACATGTAAGCCTTTTTTTCTCTTATTTAAAGATAATCCTTAATTGTGGGTATTTTGATCAATTATCAGGATTATGCAGTTCATTTTAATAATCAGTATTGGTTAGGTTTATGTGTGCTTATGCCTGTCTTTTTTTATTCAGCTTCTAATTGCTGAGTGGTTATATAAAAAAAGACTGGGTTTTACAGGAGAAAAAGTTCAAACTCAGAACGACTTTTGGGAAGTATATAGAGTTAGTTTCCCCTGCCACTTGTTTTCATAGATAATCACAAATTGGCTGTAATTCAGGTGTATACTTATTGTTGTTGCTTTAAAATTATTATGTTAAAAAAATATATATATATGTATCCTAAGTTGGTCAAGCTGATCTCAAGTTACACAGTTAGGATACATGGTGCATAAGAAGGCATAATTGGATCAATAAGGAAAGAGCCTCCTTCTCATTGATGGTGAATGTAGCCAAGGGTACTTTACACCCTGACAGCTAACTTTTCCTGGTTTAGAACAAGAAAGTTTTGATTTTGTTGTCCCTTGAAGGCCTAGAGGACAAGATCGCCCAAAATGAAGATGAAAAAGTCCACAAAGAGAATTCAGATGGATGAGAATTAGACTAGCCACTTCTATAGTTCAGGTGGGCCAGAAATGTCAGCACTGTAGTGCAAGCTTAGATTCACCTTGGGCAAGGAATGAAGTTTAGAAAGTCATCTAAGGCAGTAACCCTGTGTCTTAAGAGATCAGAATTCAAGCAAGGAGGCTGAGAAAGAGTAGAGCATTTATGGGACTAGGAGTTGATGTTTCAGATAGTCCCAGGATAGAGAACTAAGGCAGGGGAAACCTAACTCATCTTGGAGGTCAGTAACATTAGCCTTTTATTGTCTTGACCTGCACTATTCAAGATGGTAGCCATGGCCACATGTGGCTATTCAGCACCTGAAATATGACTAGTACAACCAAGGAATTGAATTTTTAGTGTTATTTAATTTAAATTAATTTAAAATGAAATTCTAAAACTGAAAATTGATCCAGGTATTATAAAACTTTTAAGTATGTTTGGAATAACTTGGGCATGTGAACCTACCTTTTTAAGTATAAATTTTATTAAATCTAAATATAGACCAAGTATTTCGGATGATAATTTAGCATTTAGATTGTGCTTTGTGTAAAATGCATGCTAGATTTAGAAGATTAAATACAAAAAAATTCAGTTATTTATATTATACACTGAAATGTTAATATTTTTGATATATTGGCTTAAATATGAAAAGTAATTTTACCTCTTCTTTTATGTGGTTACTGGAAATTTTAAGTTATATATATGGTTTGTATTATATTCCTATTGGACAACATTGGTCTAAGTCAGCTCAGTACACTACAGCCAGTTTTATAAGTAATGTTTAATTATTTTATTTTGTAAATAAGATTTTATTAGAATGCAGCCAAGCTAATTTATTGTGTTTTGATTAGCTGTTTTTGTACTGCAGCGGCAGTGTTGAGTAGTTGTGACAGAGATCATCTGGCCTGCTAAGCCTAAAATATTTATTTGACCTCTTAAGAAAAAAAGTGCTAAACCCTGGTCTTAACTCTTCAAGTTGAGGCCTTTTTATTGCGGCCCAGTTGAGAAAGAAAGGAGCAATAGCACCTGTTCCTCCAGTCTCCTACTTTTTGTCTGTAGGCGGGTTATTTCTTATCCAGGGCACCTTTCCTCAAGGATCTATCATTTGAGATATATGTGGCTGAGAGTGGGTGTCATGGTAGCAACTTGTTGGATCCTGACTTAACTGCTTCTGTCAGAGTTCCAACAGGAAACACATGGTAACACTCAAATTGAGGTAATTCGAGGAGGGTTTATTTACAAAGGGACTTATTGTAAAGGTATGAGTAGGGCATAGGAAAACCACAAGTTTTGCCTGCTGGGTCTTGCTAGCAGCAGCAGCAGAGCTGTTATCATCTCTAGGCCATAAGGGATTAGGAGAGTTACTAGACCTAGAAAGTGGTATTGCTTATAGAATATGCTACCTTGAGAAGAACAGTGAGCTTCATTGAAAGGACAAAGTCAGCCCAAGGTGACCTCATAGAAAGAGAGCAGGGTAAGTGTATATCCTGACTTCATGCTTCTTCCTTTTCTTCATATGCCAAGACTCCCATTGGATTGAAGCCCTACTGATGTATATCAGGTCTGGGATTTGACTCTTACAAGCTAGTAAGTTAGTTTCACTGTATCATGGATGCTAGCAGAAGACACAAAACTACTGGTCAGAGACAAAGGACTTTATTACTCACAAGATAGGAAGCAGTATGTGCATCAGCATATTTGTGTTGGTTCTCATTCACCCTAATTCCCAATGGAGTGATTCGGTGGATCCAAATGGATGCTGCACATCCTTTAGGTGTAGGTTGCAGCTGAGGAACACTAAGCTTGGGGAATCTGCCACTTTGATAGTAAGCAGTAATCAAGCCTGTGCTTGCCCCGGAGGGAAATATTACCTTATCCCTCAAGGTTGCTCACTGCAAACACAACCCTGAGAAGTGGCCCAGGTAAAGAGCTTAGGTCAAACCCTGGCTTTTTTGATATACACAGCAAGAAATATTAGGAGGAGGAGTGACCCATGAAGGACTGTCTCTTCGCAATCCATATGGATCAGCATTCCAGGGAGAGCAAGGTGAAGACCAGTAGGGGGGGATTTGGATTGGCAGATGGAAGATTCTGGCATTCTGGGTCTGTAGCATTAAATTCTTATTTGGATTACAGCTGAACCGGCAGCTCTGGCTTGTGATCAGGTTGCAGTATTCTTACCGTTTCTTCTCTCATATTTTCATAATCAGAAGGAAGGACGTACTTCCATAGGACAGTCTGCCTTAGGGTTGCAATATTAGAAATTATTAGTTCCTAATTTCTAAGTGTTCCTAAGTTTAACTCATTAGAAACCTCTGACTGTTTGATTCAACTGCTCTGTTGTTTTTTTAATTTACCAAATTGTAGCACTTTCTAGAAACAAACGTGTGTGTGTGTGTGTGTGTGTGTGTGTGGTTGGCAGCTGTTAACCAATTATACAAGATTTTGCTCGTTACTACAATGCTTATAAAATCCAAACTCATCGCTTGTTCTCTTTACCACCTCTCTCCAAGTGAGGTAATTGTAAAGAACTTTAAGGAATCTATTACAGCATGTTAACTAGTATCCATGTATTATTTTACTTTTAACACATATTATCTTGATATTTTGTGTTAACTGTCTTCTGGGGAATG